TCAACATTGTGTAAATGGGGATTTAGCTCTTGGAAATGTAGGAAAATTCAGAATGGATATATTTTTAATACTCACATAATAGTACATTTCCTCTTCTTTAACTTCTTATCTCAGACATAAATTCATCTTCTGAAAGTACAAAATGGGGTTCATGATTTAGATCTAAAACATTTGAGCAGCTCTTGCTATTTTTGAGTATGTATGTTTGGTATTTTGATGCAATCCTCAATGGATTCACATGTTTCTCTATTAATAAATTCATTTGTTGAAATTAAGAGATCTCTAAAACACTAAATGATATATACTACATTCCCCTTTTAAACTCAAAAAGTAGAAAACAGCAATTGTGAATAATTCCAAATGAAATAAGATTATTTTAGTCAATATTCAAACATATGAACCCTCACATAGAGAGACTGATTGAGAGAGTGAATGAGTAAGTGAACTTCTGAATGAGAGTGAGAGAATGACTTTAAGGAAGTGAGTGACTTACTAAGTGACTGAGTAAGTGGCTTGCTGGGTGGCTGGATGGCGGGCTTGCTGGCTGGCTTGCTGGGTGGCTGGGTGGCTGGATGGCGGGCTTGCTGAGTGGCTGGCTGATCAACTCCACATTTTGGAGATAAGCTTAAACATAAGTTAAGATGTAAGTTAACTACAGCCCATTTCAGTTTTATTTCGTCAGTAGAACCCCAAAAATATGAAATCAGGAGACCATTGTGCAATAATATTTGGAAAAGTATATTCATATTGTACATGAATGACATTTGTATATTTTAGATTATTTAGTTCTGTTTTGTGCAATAAGCCTGTGCCCTCTTATAATGAATTTCAGTCATGTTACAAAGTATCTTTTTGAAAATACTATGGCAGAGAAGCATACATGCTATCTATTGCAAGACTTATGCCTGGCACAACCGTCACCAGGTTATTAAGTGTTTTTAAGTTTCGCAAGGATCTTGCCATGGCCGTGGTAGTGTTATCGCGAAAGCCTGGTATAATCGTGACAATGCTATACTATATTGCAAGGCTTGTCACGACCGTGGTAATGTTAAAGCACGATATGACCGTGACAATGGTTATATTAAATAGCATTTAGAAGCATTGTAAATTTCATAGAATGATTAACTACCTTAAATATGTGAATCTAGACTTCTATACATGAACATGGTACTCACGTACATTGAAACGTGAACTTTTAGATTCATTTAGAGTCCATTTCACTGTTTCATTGCGTCAGTAGAATGGCAAAAATAAGGAATTGGGAGACCATTGTGCAATAATATATGGAAAAGTATATTCATAATGTACATGAATGACATTTGTATATTTCAGATTTTTTAGTTTTATGTGCAATAAGCCTGTGCCGTCTTGTAATATGAAGAATTTCAGCCATGTTAATCTTATTGAAAATAACATGGCAGAGAATGGCATCCCAATATAAGAGGCCACACACTTTATAAGCCAAACTAGAAGCAATCCAAGATATACAAATGTCATTCATGTACATTATGAATATACTTTTCCATATATTATTGCACAATGGTCTCTCAATTTCTTATTTTTGCCGTTCTACTGACGAAATGAAGCAGTGAAATGGACTCTAGTCTTCTTAGTTTTTTGTGCAGTAAGCCTGTGTCCTCTTTTAATTTAAGAATTTGTAAGCGATGTTATCTTTTTGCGGGTTAAACAAATGTCATTTATGTACAATAGGAATATATTTTTCAATTATTACTGCAAAATGATCTTTTGATTTTACGCAATAAAACACTGAAATGGGCGATAATAGAGAGATCTGCTCACTATTACGGGAAATTCACGAGTTTATGTGGAATTTATCTGTCAAAACATTATCATGTTTGATCCTCGTTTAGTCTAGTTTACTTTGAGCAACTTCTTACCTTCAAATCTGCTATCTTGACTACAAACTGAGTACAAAACCTCCACTGAGTTTACCACGTGAGGGTACAACAATATTGAATTTCTGCCAGTCAGTATGCCATAATGATTGCTCCCAAAAATAGCACGGCCTAGGAGCGCTCTGATTGGTTGGATTTACAGCACGGGTTAGGAGCGTCTATTGTTTGGATTTCGAACCTCAAACCCGGGCTCAAACCCGGGTTCAATAGAAATTCAAACACGTGCTACACATCTTAGCACGTGCTACACATCTTAGCACGTATGGCACGGGTGCAATGTGTATTTGGCATGGAGTGCTTCTGGAAATGATAGACCGCAAGGTCGCCGTAGGAAATGTGACTAGGGTGTAAAAGGAATGGATTAATATTTTGCTTACTAACACCCCAGTCACATTTGTCGCACGGCGGCCGCAAGTCGACCGCAGAACAATTAAATCGGTGAATTTCTGCGGCGAGCGTAGAAAAACTACGCTCGCCTTGCGGCCTCCGTACGGCGTATGCAGATTTTTACAGGCCGCAGGGAAGGCGTAGAAATTATAACTCGGAGTTATAATATTTGTTCATTTCTGAGGTCCCCGTAGAAATCAACTGGCTCAACAAGATTGAATCATTATTTGTCAATGTTTCACGATCACTTTTCATTTGATATTACATCCTAGCACTTTGAATAACATTTATAAATTGTCCTGATGTAAATAAAATGAAAAAAACTATTATTTATCAATATAAATTTAAAGTTCACCGCGCGGCTGCCGTGGGAAATGTGACTGCAAAAGTATGAGAGCGCAGAAATTCTGCGGCGAGCGTAGAAAAACTACTGGCCGCAGAAATGATAGACCGCAAGGTCGCCGTAGGAAATGTGACTGGGGTGTTACGAAGACTGAACAAAAAGAGGTCTCCCTTCTTACATGTACATTCAGTGTAAATATGCGCCAAAATGATCACAAAACAAAGCTAGAAAGGAAACACGAGGGAGTGCAACTCATAAAAAACAGACCCAAAATATCCCTAAACGGTGACCTAAAGCACAAAGAAAGAATGTTTAGCATCCCCCTCTCCCAAATCATATAACAAACTATAGGACACTATACTATACACATTCACATTCAATCATTAGGCGATTAAATCAAATTTATCTTTTTCTTCAGCTAAATGATTTGTTTCTACTGGTAATTCACAAATGAAATAGCCTTAGTAAGAAAACATTTTATTCACATTGAAAATGTATGCTGATGTTTTTCAATAGTGACGGTATGTGACAGAATTGAAAGGTATGTCATTGTGCTCTATGCAAAAGCACGACCTGTTGGTGTGATGGAACAGTTGAAAAGGATATGCTCTTCACTCGATTGATCAGATAAGCTGCATTCATTGGCTGCATTCAATGAGATATCATCATTTGCAGTGCCCTAGCTACATGTACACCTTGGAACAAGCGAAGTAAATCAATAGAAGTTGGATAAAATCTACAATATGGCTTTATTTAGATTTTTCAAAAATTTGAAACACCGTACAGGGGCGTGGCCAGATTCCAGTCATGGGGGGGGGGGTACGATCGCCAAAAGAATTCAGCCAGGGGGTGCGATTGTGGCAAAGATAAGGGTTATTTTGAATTGTACAAACATTTATGATGCAACTTCCTTCAAAAGTGAGCTACTAGCATCAAATAATAATCATTTAAAGCTCTTTTCTTCTCCATATTTTTTTATTGGTTATGGGATCGCAGTCTATGCCGTACGCGACAAAAGTCTACTAGAAGGAAATAACACTTTGATTTGTTGCTATAGTGCATTTCATAAAGTTACAATATCAACAAAAATCTTTATTGTTTGCATCATGATCGATTCAATATAATTTTATTAAAAGCACATCAACAGATCGAAAATTCAGATTAACATTAAACAGTTTCGAAACAGCTTCTTATTTGTTAACAAATTCTGTGTTTTTGATACAACTTTTCTGAAATCCCATTGACAGTGAAAATCTGCATGCATTCGACGAAGATTTGAAATATATCAGATTAAACAAATTAATTGATCAACGGCCGCGGTAATCTCTAAACTTATAACGTATATGGTGTATAGCCTATACGATATCTTATATTTTATTAAATGAACAATAATAATATAATGACACCATTTTTAAAAGATAGAAGTCGACCATTGGACATTGTTAAAAGATCGAAATCGATCACTGGTCATTGTTAAAAGACAAATCGATCATTGTTAAAAAACCAAAATCGGTTATTGGTCATTGTTAAAAGACCGAAATCGATCATTGGTCATTGTTAAAAGACCAAAATCGACCATTGTTCATTGTTAACCCTTAGAGCGCTGATTTGTTTTGGACGTGCATTCCGTGGAGACTGACTTGTTCGGGGACTGATTCCCTTTTTCAGACATGCATATAGAACCTGATCATACCAGAAGTATGATACATATGCATGTACATGTATCATATTGATGCAATCGGTAGTTACTTAAAAAGACATAAAAAAGCATTTCAGAGTTATGAAGGGGTCATTTAATCCTATACATTGACTTGAAGTCAAAGTTTATGACAGAGATTTGTCTAACAATTTTCAAAATATTCTAATCACCATTTACCAACATATCAATGATATTTCCTTCATTTTCACAAGTTAAAATGTTTCGAATTCCTCTAATATATCATCACCCGATCATACATTGTGATCGATTTCCTCATATTTGATGAGTATTCTTCAATTTAATCCAATATTTTCGAAATAAAAAGTTTAGGAATATTTTTGTTTCATTAATTATTGTGTCTATTTAACTTATTTTGTAATAGTATGTTGTATGAATGTTAACACCATCATCTATCAAAACCATCACATTTGGAGAAGAATAGCGGCAACTTATTTAAGGTAGACTTTCAACATTATCTAGCGAGTAAACTCCCTGATCGTCTACATGGAATGTGAAATCGCATCTAGCAGAATAAAATCTAAAGGTCATGTATTGCGTTGTTAATCAAAGAATCACGTTCTTTATCTCTTATATATATTTCAAATCTCCGTCAATGCAGAATTTCACTCAGAATGATATATTGATTTCTTATAAGGCCATTGACAAACACGAATCGAAGTAAAGTGCAAGTTAGACATAAATTGGATAATCATGAAATCAAATGGACCAGCACAATAAAATATATTTGTCTCTTAGAAGGAAACGATTTTTTATCAGTGCTATTGATTGAAGGGCGTCTCTCTGAAAATCGGCTTTTACTTTGCTGCAACAGTTTCACAGCTGCGTAATATCTTCGGAAAATCATGAAACGGAATGTAGTTTTTTGCCTCTGTATTTTACAAACTGTTACAAGAGGAACACTTGTGATAAATGAACTGAACGCAGACCAACCGTCAACCGACACTCTGGAATACATAGAACTTTACAACACATCCCCATCAGACGTTGTCATGGACGGCTACACATTAGTGTTGTATAATGGAGCATTAAATCCAACAGCCTCTTACAGAACCATAGCGCTGGATGGTCATTGCATAAGTGGTCTAGGCTATTTTGTGATTGGCTCCCCAACCATGACCAACCCGACACCGAACATTCAGTTCCTTGTATCTTCAAATGCTGTACAAAATGGAGGGTCGACAAGTAGTGATGGTGTCGGATTATACCATGGTGACGTTTCAAACACAGGTAAAATATACCAATCGGGCAAAAAGTGGAATGACAAGAAAAGATATTCAACTTTTTGTGATTTTATAACATGGGGTCTAGGGAAAAACTCCCCGAACAATAAGGCACATATTCCAAAAAAACATTTTCAAAGTTGATAAATATAAACAATTTTCGGAGCCATATTTTTCAATGTACTTTTACTTGTAAATTTCGAATATGACATCACTTTGCCTGAATTTTGAATATTTAATGACGTAAATCAAGATTATAAGTTATTCAATGATTCGAGTGAAATACGGAAAATATATTCTTCCCGAGAAGGTCTGTATTTCACGATGCGCTAGCAAAGTGAAATACAGACTTTCAAGGGAAGAATATTTTCTGTATTTCACGCGAAATCATTGAATAACGTTTTTATTCCATGATTACTCAGATAAAACTCCCCCAAAATTAAGTCCATTTCCTTGGCTTAACCGAATAAACAGATCCATCGTCTCACCTCATATATATTTTTGATCGGTATTCTTTCAAAATCTTTTTGACTTGATGTTTGCTTTTATTGTATTATACAGTATGTTTGGTTTTCTGTCTTTTCTCTTCAATTTCATCAGCTGGACGTGCAGTGTAACGTTTTTCGACTTTCGTCTGCCATATTGGATTTTTACTAGTTCATGAAATGTGCATGCTTCAAATTGATTTCTTATATTTACAGATGCCTGTTTGTTATCCTTAAATTATAAATCACAGTATCATTTCCTGTTATTTAAATCAGATATTTCTCGTGAAATACAAAGATTAGCACGCTCTGATGTAAACCAATCGCAATTATGACGTGCACGGACCTGAGGACAATTCGGGAAATGCGGGCTTATCTCAGCTTTGAACGTTAATCTCTGCCTTATTTAAAAATCCAACTATGTGTTTTACATATCATTTTGACGTATTTTTTATTCGCATTCCAATGAAATTATTTTTCCTTCAAAATTTTGATGGGATCCAACACATTTTTAAAGTTAAATATACTCCGACATCGTCAAATACCACGGGTAGTATCTAAAGCCCCGCTATGATTGAAAGGTCGCGAGCAAGTTCCCGCTGAAATCGCGAGCATAGTCCTGTTTATTTGTATCACTTTGGAAAATGAACCAAAAGGATGAGAATACTTATTACCGTTCTTTGATACTCCAGCAAAACTTTGAAAACAGACATATTTGACAAAAAATGACATGAAAAATGATTATTTTTTACTTGCATGAAGGAAAGGGGCGTCAACATGCACGTTTGCATAATTTACTGTTCATATATTACTTTTATCGTTAAAATAAAGGCAATAAATACGATTTACATACTCCATAATAAATATCGGATCAAGATGGTCTGTATTGATAAGTTACTGGACAATGACACCTGCCATGGGGGTCGAAATACATTATTAAAGGTGTTCCAGTGGCCCCGCTGAAAAAATGAGGAGGCCCCGCTGAAAACATGAGGAGACCCCGCTGAAAACACGAGCAAATTTCACGACTACCCGCTTCGATCACGAGGAAAGCTTCATCATTATTCCATGAATATAGTGAGCTTCTTTATATGAACGTACACGAAAGTGCAAATAACGTATTAATGACAATCACATAACATATCATTCTATGGCAACATCACAAATATTTCTTCTTCAACTTCAGGCAGTCTAATCCATCTGTCAGCGGCATGATCAAATTTTTATATGTAAATAGACTTTGTACTTTTCGGAGTTAAATGTACATTCTACATAATTAACTATTCCAAGGATTATACTTCTGAGGACACATATATTTCATTGGTTTCTTTGTCCGACCGTTCATTCGTGCGTGCATTCGACCGACCGTTCGTTCGTGCTTGCTTTCGTCTGACTTCCCTTTCGTTCGTGGGTTCGTCCGTCTATCCGTCCGTTCGTCCGTGCGTGCTTTCGTTCAACCGTCCATTCATGCGTGCGTTTGTCTGTTCGTTCTTTTTGCGTTCGTTTGTGTGTTCGTTCGTGAGTGCGTTCATTCGTGCGTTCGTTTGTTACTACGTTCTTGCGTGCGTGGGTTCGATCTTTTGTAAATTGTTTTCTTCTATCTTCCCTTCATGCGTTCTTTTGGCCGCCTATCCGTCCGTTTGTTCATTCATTGTTTTTCGGCTGTTCTTCTGTCCATCCGTGCGTTCTTTCCTCGTTCGTTTGTTCGTTTGCAGGTTTTCATCAAAATGTGTCTTTCCACTGCCATATGAAAGAATGTAAATAATCAAGAAAGCAAGCAAGGACGTGAGGAAGTAAACAAGCAACGAAGTAAGTAATTGAGTTATCAAGCAAGTAAAGAATGGAGGAAGTAAATCGAAGAAGTGAAGGTGGGAGTAATATAAGTAAGCAAGGAAGGAAAAAAGGAAGGAAGGAGGGAAGGAAAGAAGCAAGGAAGCAATGAAGGAAGGAAGGAAGGAAGCAAGGAAACGAGAAAGCGAGGAGGGAATAAAGCGAGGAAGCAAGCAAGGAAGCATCTGAGGAAGAAAGGAAGGAAGAAACCGAGGGAGCAAGGAAGGAACGATGCGAGTAAAGAATTAAGCAGGGAAGCTAGCAAGTAAGGAAGCGAGGAAGCCAGGAAGCAAAGAAGGAAGGAAATGAGGAAGCAAGGAAGGAAGGAAGCAAGCAAAGACGCAAGGAAAGGAAGGAAAAAAGCAAGGAAGGAAGGAAGGAAGGAAGGAAGAAGGCGAGAATGCAAGGAAGCAAGGAGGGAAGAAAACAAGGAAGAAATGAAGCGAGAAAAGAAGGACACGAGGAAAGAATGAAGGAAACGAGGAAACAAGGAAGGAGGAAAGGAGGAAGTGAGGAAGGAAGCGATGAAGCAAGGAAGAAAGGAGGGAAGTGAGGAAGGAAGCGATGAAGCAAGGAAAGAAAGAAGCGAGGAAGCAAGGAAGGAGGAAAGATGGAAGCGAGGAAGCAAGAAAGGAATGGAGCGAGAAAGGAAGGACGTGAGGAAAAAAACGGAAGAAGCGAGGAAGCAAGGAATGAGGAAAAAAGGAAGCGAAGAAGGATGGAAGCAAGGAAGGAGGGAAGTGAGGAAGGAAGGAAGCGATGAAGCAAGGAAAGAAGGAAGCGAGGAAGCAAGGAAGGAGGAAAGATGGAAGCGAGGAAGCAAGAAAGGAATGGAGCGAGAAAGGAAGGACGTGAGGAAAAAAACGAAAGAAGCGATGAAGCAAGGAATGAGGAAAAAAGGAAGCGAAGAAGGATGGAAGCAAGGAAGGAGGGAAGTGAGGAAGGAAAGAAGCGAGGAAGCAAGGAAAGAGGGAAGCGATGAAGCAAGGAAGAAAGCGAGGAAGCAAGGAAGGAAGCGAGGAAGCATGGAAGGAGGGAATGAAGCAAGGAAGGAAGGAAGAAAGGAAGGAAGTGAGGAAGAAATTTGTGAAGGAAGCGAGGAAGCAAAGAAGGGGGAAAGAAGGGAGCGAGGAAGAAAAAAGCAAGGAAGGAAAGAGGGAAACGAGGAAAGAAGGAAGCGAAGAAGCAAGGACGGAAGGAACTGAGGAAGCAAGGAAGGATGCAAGGAAGGGAACGAGGAAGAAAGGAAGCCAAGAAGCAAAGAAGGAAGGAAACGATGAATCAAGGAAAGAAGGAAGCAAGCAAAGACGCAAGAAAGGAAGGAAGGAAAAAAGCAAGGAAGGAAGTAAGTAAGGAAAGAAGGAAGAAGGCGAGAAAGCAAGGAGGGAAGGAAGCAAGGAAGGAATGAAGCGACAAAGGAAGGACGCGAGGAAGAAACGAATGAATCGAGGATGCAAGGAAGGAGGAACAAGGAAGCGAGGAAGGAAGGAAGCAAGGAATGAAGGAGGGAAGTGAGGAAGGAAGGAAGTGAGGAAGGAAGGAAAGAAGGAAGCGAGGAAGCAAGGAAGAAAGCAAGCGAGGAAGCATGGAAGGAAGGAATGAAGCAAGGAAGGAAGGAGGAAAGGAAGTGAGGAAGAAATTTATGAAGAAAGCGAGGAAACAAAGAAGGAGGAAAGAAGGGAGCGAGGAAGGAAAAAAGCATGAAAGGAAAGAGGGAAGCGAGGGAGGAAGCAAGGAAGGAATGAAGCAAAAAAGGAAGGACGCGAGGAAAAAACGAAGGAATCGAGGATGCAAGGAAGGAGGAAAAAGGAAGCGAGGAAGGAAGGAAGCAAGGAATGAAGGAGGGAAGAAAGGAAGGAAGGAAGGAAGGAAAGAAGGAAGCGAGGAAGCAAGGAAGAAAGCAAGCAAGGAAGCATGGAAGGAAGGAATGAAGCAAGGAAGGAAGGAGGAAAGGAAGTGAGGAAGAAATTTATGAAGAAAGCGAGGAAACAAAGAAGGAGGAAAGAAGCGAGGAAGGAAAAAAGCATGGAAGGAAAGAGGGAAGCGTGGAAGGAAGGAAGCGAGGAAGCAAGGAAGGAAGGAAGCGAGGAAGCAAGGTAGGAAGGAAGCGAGGAAAGAAAGATGCGAGGACGGAAGGAAGCGAGGAAGGAAGGAAGCAAGAAAAGAAGAGGCGAGGAAGGAAGGAAGCGAGAAAGCAAGGAAGGAAGGAAGGAAGCGATGAAAGAGAGAGCCGAGGAAGCAAGAAAGGAATGAAGCAAGGAAGCGAGGAAGTAAGGTGGGAAGCAAGCGAGGAAGGAAAGATGCGAGGAAGGAAGGAAGCAAAGAAGGAAGGAAGCAAGAAAAGAAGAGGCGAGGAAGAAAGGGAGGTAGGAAGCGAGGAAGGAAAGAAGCAAGGAAAGAAGGAAGCGAGGAAGGAAAGAAGCGAAGAAGCAAGGAAGGAAGGAAGCCAGGAAGGAAGGAAGCAAGGAGGGAAAGAAGCAAGGAAGGGAGGAAGCAAGGAAAGGAAGGATGCAAGGAAGCGAAGAAGGAAGGAAGTGAGGAAGCAAGGAAGGGAGGATGCAAGAAAGGAAGGAAGCAAGCAAGGATGGAAGGAAGGAAGCGAGGAAGGAAGGATGCAAGAATTCGAGGAAGCAAGGAAGGGAGGAAGGAAGGGAGGAAGGAAGCGAGGAGGGAAGCAAGGAAGGAAGCAAGAAAGAAAGGAGGGAAGTGAGGAAGGAAGGAAGGAAGGGAGGAAGCGAAGGAATGAAGCCAGGAAGCAAGGAAGGAAGGAAGCGAAGAAGCAAGGAAGGGAGGAAGCAAGCAAGCAAGTAAGCAACAGGAGATTGATACAGGAATGATATTCATAAACATTATTCTGACTAAATCATTTTAGGTTGACCTAAACGCACGCTTATTCGTGTATCTTACTGAATATCGACTTGTACTCAAAGATGGAACAGAGGGGACAGTTGCAATAAGAGAAATACAGGATATTTCCTATGGACTATGTAGCAAAATCACACGATAAAAAACGTTATACAACGATTTGAAGCGCAACATAGGATATATTGTGCTCTCGATATGCTGTACTTCCACTTGATTTCATCTCGGGCCAATACAGAATTTTTGAGCAATATAAAATGTTCTGTAAAGCTTTAAGAAGGGAAACTCGGTACATCTTTATTTCATATCACTATCGTTATTTCAACCACAGGACAACATCGTTCTTCACCAATTACGTATAGAAATATATAGATAAAGATTCAAAATGATACTTTCTCTCTTCAATTGACAAATAACGAACCACAGAACTACCGCTCGTGATACATTTTTTCCAGCAGTTGCTTTTTAGTCCAAATACCATGTAATCATTGGGAAAAATTAAAAGAAAACGTTTTGTAAATCATACAATTCAAGAACACAAAAAAGAACCCATGACTTCTTTTTATTCCTCGCGATTTCAGCGGGAACTTGCTCGCGATTTTTAAATCATAGCGGGGCTTTAGATACTACCCGTGAAATACACTGTAAGACGTAACACTTTACGCTTACAGGGCTCGTTGAAATTGAGATAACTTTTGAAATAATGATCAAAATCCCACTTAAATTTCACAATTTATTCAATGGAACATTTGCATTTATGACGTCACAATTGCTTAACGGCTACATTTCAAATTATCTTATACGAACGCTTTTAAAATTTTCAAAATTGTGTAAGGTTTTGAAGGCGAATGGGACGAGCAATAAGTTTACCTTCATTTAACCTTCTAATTTAGGTCTGATTTGAAAGAAAATTTAACTGCACAATATTGTCATGGCGAAATTTACAAAACAATAACCGGTTTGTTTATTTTGCAAATAATATCAAAATAAGAGCTGGTTTTCGAGACTTGAAAAAATGTGACGCATCGATTTTTTACCACAAATTCCATACATATCAATTTTTACTAACGCCCCAAGTGGATTTCTTGACCGTTTTTCAAAATTCAAAAACATTTTAGAAATATTGTCCTCGAGATCTTGCTACCCTGTAAATTTTGTAATGATTAGATAAGGATAATGTATTTTATTTTTAGGTTGACTAAACTTGTAAAAAATGTGACGCTTGTCGTTTTTGACGTTGTAAGGCTGTTTGCGCCCTATACTGCTCATTGTTTTGTTTTGTTTTTTGACGCCATAATGTTACGCTAATTGTCCCCAGTTTCGTGCGACGTGTAAATAGATTTTTCCTGGATGGAAATCTGGGGCGTTGAAATACTGGACCGTATCCCAACGCTGACGTCATTTTCATTCTGTATCCAGCGCTAACACCCCAGTCACATTTGTCGCACGGAGGCCGCAAGTCGACCGCAGATCAATTAAATCGGTGAATTTCTGCGGCGAACGTAGAAAAACTACGCTCGCCTTGCGGCCTCCGTACGGCGTATGCAGATTTTTACAGGCCGCAGGGAAGGCGTAGAAATTATAACTCGGAGTTATAATAGTTGTTCATTTCTGAGGTCCCCGTAGAAATCAACTGGCTCAACAAGATTGAATCATTATTTGTCAATGTTTCACGATCACTTTTCATTTGATATTACATCCTAGCACTATGAATAACATTTATAAATTGTCCCGATGTAAATAAAATGATAAAAGTATTATTTATCAACAGAAATTTAAAATTCACCGTGCGGCTGCCGTGGGAAATGTGACTGCAAAAGTATGAGAGCGCAGAAATTCCACGGCGAGCGTAGAAATGTTACTGGCCGCAGAAATGATAGACCGCAAGGTCGCCGTAGGAAATGTGACTGGGGTGTAAGTGGAAAGTGCATGTAAATACAAGATATATTTAAGTCACACTTTTCATTTCATTTTAGCAAATTTGGTTGACTTTATTGCGTACAGCACCTACGTTGCTCAAACCAGCGTTGGTCCTTTCTACCCGGACTACCTCCCTCAAGACGTCATCGCTATCGAAGATTCTGCCTATGCTACAGAAGATGTGTCACTAAATAGATGTAATGGCAATGCGGTGAAGGACATGACACAGTTCGAAACGAGACACCTAAGTCCAGGCACAGTGAACCTTTGTGATGGGAGCGTTTCTCCGATCAGTGTTCCGACCATGGCGTCTGAGAATTGTGGCACAAGTTAGTACGATTATTCTTAATGGCTCTTAATGTATGTAGCTATTCTATTTCAAATGGGGCTGTTATAAAAGGGTTGAGATGCGACGGGATATCCACAGGTATGATGTTGTTTTCATGCAGTGAGTTCAAAATCACAATTGAAATATTGCAGGTTCACTCTAAAAAAAGTGATTCCGAATATTTCCAAACGAGGCTGTTATAAAACTTGAAGGGGTTGGAGTGCGACGAGGTTTATGATATGATGTTGTATTTTGTTGAAATAGGAATGCAGACTTCAAAACTTCACTAAAATGTCACTAAAACAAATTGAAGCGCCAAAAGAGAGTTGTGATCATTTATCCTCATATTCTTCAACTTTATATGGAATGAGAAGCTGGACAAAATTGGAAGAAAGATGATGATTTACAAACAAGACAAAGGAGGCTTAAACAATAAACATGCTCCACTTGCAATCATATGTAAAAACCTAAGCATCAAGAAGAGTAAGAAATATATAAACCAGAGGCAAATGGAAGCGGATGTGGAACTTACACTTGAAGAACTTGACACAGGGAAATGTATGGACACTGAATCGTTCAAAAACAGTGACAAAATAAGTGTTTTAGACCTAAGTTACCTGAAGACAGTATACACAAACTGATGCATTATAGAATATCAAACCCGATACGAGCAATCCCGAAGTACAATGATAATGGCACAACGAACAGATGAGAATCAAGAATGGATAAATCATGGAAACTGAAGTCTGGATACAAAAAGGTATTGAATAAAAGACATTCAGGACGAAAATTTCAGATTTTAAGATTTCTCACAGCAGTAGAATTAGGCCAAAAATATGGAATTGTTATGAACCAAAGTATACTGTAACTACTGAACTATGGAATGTAATAGTATTATTGCAGCCATCCCTCAAAATAAGAAAAGAAAATGTCGACACCCAAAAGGAAATGAAGAAGATGAAACCCGGAAACCGAAGGCGACAGTAAACACAGAATGGATAAAAAGACAAACAAAGAAGTTCACAACATCTTACTACAAAAGAACAATGCTGAGATGTGGACGTGGGCCAAAATCCACAAAAATAGGAAAAATATCCTCCACCTTATTGATCCGGAAAAATTCTCTTCGGAGATGGAAAAACAGAAAACGAACATCTATTCACATCTGAAACAAACGATATTCCAAAACATGTAAAAGGAAAATAAGGAGACCCAATATGATAGGAGCAATGTAGGAACCCGAGGGGTTCGCTAAAGTCCTATACAAAATTACGTCTCTCTAAAATATCATTTTTTGAAAAAAGAATCAATTTTTTTTCTCAGTCACTAGTGAAGCAAACTTCAATTTCTCCAAGATCACTAGGTCCACTCTCAAGTTCTTTACATACATTTTATTACCACCTTTCATTGCCTATTAAAAAAGTTATATAGAAAAATGTATGAAAAGAGCTCATAATTTTGCCCCCTGAGGTACCCACTTTTTGCTAATAGTCGAATTTCATAAGAACTATTTGCATGAATCTTTGTTAAAATGATTAATCAATGTTATTTTTATGTTAGTCATGTAAAAAATGAAAATATCGATGATACCATGGGCTTTCAACTAGATTGAAAGCCCATGATAATACTGAAGAAATATAAAATATAGGCTGTAATCGGTGTGCATGGCAATGTTAACATCTAAATTCTTTAAGTAGACATCCTGTCGGTGTAAAAAATTCTCATTCAAAAATCTTTCGGGTGCATGGGGACCCTTGCTTCCTACTTACCCTACTATCACACCAAACTAGTTCTCACTACGTTCTTGAAAACGGGCTTCAACTGTGTACGAACGGACTAGACGTACTAAGAACCGTTTGGGATCTATTTACAAACTTCATCGAACGTGCTCGAACGGGTAGGTCCTCTAGAACCTAGACAATGCTCAAAATGTTCTCGTGGTCGTCACGTTCTACAATTTGAACGAGTGACAACGTACTAACGACGAGCTGGACGTACTACGAACGGAACCGTCGTACTTCAATCCTACTAGGGACGTTTTAACAACGAGTTGAACTGTCTGAGGACGTGTTGAGAACGAGGTAGAACTCATTGCAAACGGGTTTAAACTGATTAAGAACGTATTTAACACTGCTTATGAACGAGTTAGCAAAAATATAGCTATCACACCAAACAAGTTGCCACTGCGTTCTTCAAAACTGGTTTTAAACTGTGTGCGAACGGAATGAACGTAGCTGCAACTTTCTAAGGACTATTTACGAACTTTATGAACGTTCTCAGACGGGAATATGATTTTAGAATTTTGAATCGATTCAAAATTCGATTGCGACCATACCGTTCTGTTATCAGGTCATGATGACCTTCTTGACTAAGGGACGCGTTCTACGGCGTTGCACACCGTCGTGATGCGACCTGAACGAACTGCGAACGAGATGGACGTATTGAAGACTGTTTAAGAACGAAGAAGCTAATTATTTCAGACATATTTCCCGACCACAGCCAGATTTAGCCCGTTTTACGACGTTTTCGTAGGACTGGCAAGAACGGGTTAGAACGAGTTTGGTGTGATAGGGGGGTAAGCTAATACACTCGGTTAATTGATAAACTGGACATGATACTTTATCAATAATATTCTTTATCTTTCTGTATCATCATATCAACCATTTATATATTTGTCCACCGATACAACATTTGACCAAATGGATGACATTCAAAGAATTTCATAAATATGGTTAAATGCTAGAAATAGAACGATTAAATTAAATTAAATAGTACGATTCATAAAATCGTCAGTATTATTAGTATGGCATAAATTGATGTAAAAAATATAAGAAAGACCATTAGTGTGCATGAGAAAAAATGTAATTTATGACATAATTTAAAGGGAAATGACATATGTCATAGATTTCTACCAGTCATGTACTAACATATATCCAGTATAACTCCAAGAGTTTAGTTAAGGCAAAATTTAAAAAAATAAATAAATGACCATGCACCTTTTTTATTTACAGAGGGATACGTTTGTATCATGTAAGGGTCAATGAATATATAGGGGTTATGCACTGGGAGGTTTTGGATACAGGGAATATCCCGAGGGATATACAATATATCTTCCCGAGGGACCGAAGGGACCGAGGGAAGATGTATTGTATATCCCAAGGGATATTCAATGTATCCAAACCGACCGTGCATAACTGGTGTATCTCATACTTGAATGGGTTTAGGGTAGATATAACCTTTTCCACCTTTTTCAAATGACAAGATATTTATATTCAACATTTTCGTAATATTCTTTTTGTTCCATACAATGAAATTGTAACATTTAAACTTAAAAAAAATTAAATTTTAAAATTAAAACTTTTGATATTTAAACTTTTTTAAACTTTTGAAAAATTCCCGGGAGCGGGATGGATATATTATATCTGCCCGCATTTGGCCTGGAGCGGGACATATACAATATATCCTGCCCGCTCCTCAGATACGATATATATTCCCGGGTGATATCTACCCGAAACCCACTCAAGTATGAGATACAATATAATATAACATAACATAGATATAACATAGTTTGACACGCCCAGGGGAATTACACCGTGTCACTTTGTATAGAATAAATAATGCATGCTATCTTAATCTATTGAGTAAAAAATGCGTGTTGTTTTTAATTATCGTAGATATGTTTTTATCAATAAACTCACTGTCATCATTTTGATAAATTATGTACGTTATTGCAGACACGAACCCAACAACTGCTACTTCAGATCTAACAACACTACATTTCATGACAACTGCTGTCACGACATCTGCGATCACAACACCTGATGTCACAACACAACATGCCATGACAACTGCTGTCACAACACCTGATGTCACAACACCTACTGCTGTCACGACATCTGCGATCACAACACCCGATGTCACAACACCTGCTGGCACAAGTCTTAACTTACTTGATGTATTCGAGAACACGAAAAATACAAAAATGACATGTACAGACGGGAACTTACTTAGCTCACTCGAGAGAAGCTTAATAAAATGTGCGGCTTTGTGTCTGCGACAACCAGGCTGTGTGTCATTAAGCTACAAGAGAAGTTCAGGTGACTGCGTTCTATATGGTGAAAACTGTGCGTCATCATCTGGACTTATACAGCCATACGAAGGGTGGACATATGCTGAAAGAATCGTTGCCTGATCATGACTGTTATTTTGATCTAAAAAGCACGAGAGGCGACAATTTGAAAAATAAAATATATTTGTATATTCTTCAATGCAATGTTTAATCTCACCTTGACCTACATGTACCAATTTGGTACTGCTAAGTGAAAATTATCAGAGTGAATAAAGTTATTCTTCATGTTCATTAACATGTTGTTGAACATATGAAACCATACATGTACAGACAGTATGGAATACTGATACCTTTGTTTTGGTGATAAGGCACAACACCATTTGCGATGTTTAGATCAACCTGCTATTGAAACACTTAGTTAAGGATTACTAGTATTTATCATCAACTTAGTATAGCTTATTATTACTTTTGAACATACACTCTAGACCTACTCGAACTTATCAAATTAATAATGTTCTTCAAATTTAGTTTAGTGAATATTCAATATTACAATGACACTGGTGCATTACAAATATGTGTAGTAATAACTGTTTAATACTTTGATTTCAACAGACTACTCTTTCTGTTCCAATCCTCAACGATTTTTTGGGTTACAAACTTTTTCATTGGAGTTAAGCTTTTGAAGCTGCATTAGAAATGAGAATAGTGTACGATATAAGATGGAATGTATCGCAAATGACGCTGCTTGGAATTATATTTCAAATGATGTCATGTTCCGCAAATATAGGTAAGAGTAACATTTATATTTGCGTCTATTATAACTGATATATCAACTTTCTGATGTTCTATTAAACATTAAGCGATGTTTGTGTTGATATAAGCACTATCGACTTTGTGGTATCTCAATACAATGCAATACAATACAATACAATACAATACAATACAATACATTTACATTTACAATACAATATCGCAGTTAATCATCATTTTGTTGATTTTCAAAATATTGTTTATTTTTTCTTGAATACGAGGGGGGATTCATAAGTAGTGGGACTTTTCTGAGGCAACAAGTCCCTGTGTACATATCTCAACCAAATTTGGCACATGAACGGACTAGGATATAAGGCATTGTTTGGTGAAATTTCAATTTAATTCATTTTGTTCCCTAGCAACAACGGTTGCTATGGTAACCAAAAGTAGGGGATAACGGAGCAGTTAAAAAATGAAGGACTTGATCAACATAAATATGCTCATAAACATCTCAAAATGACAGTTATTTTCAAATATTTGGTTTCATATTGTCCCAAGCCTTGTAGTCGTGACAACTGTAACAAATATTACATCATCATGCTTTTGTGATGTCACACAAAGCAGTGACACCAGAATACTGCCATTTTCAGTCCTTCTTGGATGGAGCAAAATTTGATTAAAATAGCAATGAAAAAGCAAGAATCACGTATAAACATCCGTGCTGTGATTAAATTTAATGCTTTGAAGAAGTGTTCATTATTAGAGACCTATAGAGGTTTGTTGGAAGTCTATGGGAAAGAAGAAGTAAAAAAATCTACAGTATATAGGGGGTATTCTGTATATGTATTCTGAATATGCTGTGAGAGCCAAGATGACCAATCTTGGAAAATACGGTTTTGAGGGTGCATACCTAGATTGGTTGAGGAGATGCCAAAAATGCATTGATTGTCATGGCGAATACTTTGAGAAAGAGTGAGATTGCACCAGAAGGATAAGCAATCAATAGTCTTGCACAGAATTGATGTGCTCTACAAAAGGACTTGCTAGAAGTCATGGATTAGATCACGTCCTGAATATCAGTTGAGACTTGTATATTTAACTAGCAATTAGTGACAAACAATGTGCTCCGTGGATCCTGTTGTGACGTCATAATTGGAACTCTCACTTTACTAAAGTTGGGTGTAACTTTTTGAAATTTTCACACAATGATTATCACATGTTAATGGTTCTGTGTTCCAAGTTTGAATAAAATCTGGTTGATAGAAGTGAAGTTATAGCATTTGTCCCACTACTTATGAATCCCCCCTCGTACTAGTATCACCTTAAAGATGTAATTTTACATAAAAAACAAAGTTTTGATTTTGTTTGGCTAACATAAACGTGACTTATCAACTAATCATCGATCAATTATTTTGTAAATGTGTTTTTGACCTGCTCCCGTTAGCGCGTTGAATGATATTTCTTATTCATAAAAATATGTTTTACTATGTCCGTACGATTTGTCAAAATATATCTTGATATATCAAAATATTATCGTAATAAAAAGGCCCAGTTATGGCATATTTATGTATTATGTTGACTCGGATCTTTCTTATTATATTCTTTGAATACTTTTGAAGGTTCATTCTGGCATGTATCGGACTTTCATTACGACCCAACATATGACATGAACGCAACAGCAGAATCGTGCCCATCTTCACTCAAGAGAGTTAGGTTTGGCCGATTTGGGGACTACCTTTGTGATGCCCCATGGGCTCTTGTCAATGACTCTGTATATGCAATGAAATCAATTGAACCAAATCCTGATTTCATAATTTGGACAGGGTAAGTAACATAGATTACAATTAATTCCTGCCGTGCTCTGTGAAATCATGAGGACAAGTATTCAATAATAGATCAAGTAAAAGAGACTCAATTGAAAACTAAAAAAACACTTTGCAAGTGATAATCTTTGATACAGCACTCATTAAGTCATTGTCTTCTACATCCATGTTTTATTTTAGAGATGACACCCCACATATCTATACAGGACCGACTCTGAATACTAAAACTGTGATAGACATCATCCTAAACGAAACTCAACTACTTCAAGACGTTTTTCCAAATACCATTGTGTATGCAGCTCTAGGCAATCACGACTACCATCCTAAAAACCAACTCCCAGACTCAAACAATACAATTTACGACGCTGTTCTGGAAAAATGGAAAATCTGGATGAAGAACCCTGAATCTGAACAGACATTTAGAAAGGGTATTTATGATAAATGAAATAAACACGAGCACACGCGTCTCGAACTCGCAACCTCATGGTTACGGCGCCCAATCGCCGAGCCTGACTGAAGCATTAAGTTTGTGAACGTCTATTTAGGAATCAAAAGAACACGAATGTGTAATATTACGTCTGTTATAGTCTATGTTTACTCCTCGGGGATATTTGTCACCACTGACATTCTGTACCTATTGATATAATTGATGTTAAAGGTTTGTTATTTTTAGGTGGATACTATACAGAATCTATGTACAAGAATGGTTATAGGGTAATAGTTCTCAATACAAATCTCTACTACACCTCCAACAATGCCATTGAGAATAAAGTCGACCCAGCAGAACAGTTCGCTTGGATGGAGAATGTTCTTGAAAATTCCAAGAAACAGGGAGAAAAAGTATGTGAAAACAAAAATTAGGCTTTTGCAAAGACAAAAACATATCCTACGCTTTGTTCGTAGTGCGAATTTCATGTATCGAAGTATTGTTGGTTCGAACAAGTGTTTCGGGATTTGAAATTGGAGAAAAGAGTCTCCAATTTAATCTTATTGCCCCATCTAGATAGTTGGGCTCCTCCGATCAAGATCTAAATGGGTTGCTTGCAGCTTATTATGCACACTAACTGCACCTCTTTTTACATGTTTTATAGGTCCATATTGTTGGCCATATTCCCGTTGGACTGTTCGAAAAGCATGCGAAGAAGTATTGGTTCAGACCAGAGTATAACAGACGCATGAATGACATTATTGTGAAATACTCGGACATCATCCTAGGGCAATATTTTGCTCATCACCACACGGATAGCTTTAGATTATTTTACAATAAAGGTATGTACAACAAGCTTCAACATGTTGAGAGCCGAATGCGATCAGTGATGGTTCATGATCAATGTTCCATTGTCTCAATTTCGATTTCGCAATATACAGAAGCATCAGATCCTGTTTATTCATTTTAAGTGATGTTAATTATGTAATCCATGATATTTGCACAAAGTTGATGTTCCGAATGCGGTGTCATTTCTTCATAATGTCTTGTTTGTCTTTTTTTAAGTCAACCCTAATAATAAGATCAATATATTTTTCTGGAGCCCAGAAGTAGTCGTTTTTTACTTGTAATACCATGTAGAAAAATATCCAACGGGAGTTTGCTCTTGAAATTTTGCATAAACAAATATTGCGAAAAATATATTGCATGACAACCCAAATAGAGAATACCACGAATGTCACAACATGTGCAAAGTTAAAGTACAAAATTTCACAAGCTAAAAATTAAACCCGCATATACAATTTCTTCAGTTCATCAAAGTAAGCAAAAACGTTCTATTCTTTCTTTCTATTGTGTCATTTAACATCTTAGGTAAACCCTTGAGTACAGCATATTTGGCACCTGCTGTAACCCCGTGGGCAACAACACTTCCTGGTGTGGTAGGGTCCGCCGCCAACAACCCTGGAATAAGACTCTTCAAGTACGACTCTACCAATACAGAACCAACCGACATTTGGCAGTACTATCTCAACCTAACTGAAGCCAACACGTTGGAGAGGTCAGAGTGGAAGATACTGTACAAGGCGAGAAAGGATTACAATCTGACTAGTCTATTACCCGTGTCATGGGACACACTGGTGGAATCATTCAAGACGACTGATAGTGAAACATTTCGCAAATATATTGATTTCAATGGCGTCGGTTTTTCCAAGGACGAATCTTGTGAGAATCAATGTAAACACATTCATATCTGTGCTATACGGAATGTTGACTACAATGCATATGATAGATGTATAAATTCTGCAAGCATTGCTGGTGTGTTTCATTTCGTTTCGATTTGGACTGTTGTCATACCTGTGCTTTTTAGTTTGATTTTTGTTAAATAATCAAAAGGATTAGAAACTGGAAAAAGTACAACTGAAAACTTATGTTTGTCCGTATATTTATTCACATTTCAGTATAAGTGTCATAAATCATAAAATATGTCCAGCAATAAACAGAATTTTTAGTTGTCTCAACCTTTGAGATGGCCCTTTGTAAAGCTTAAAGGCCCCATGTAAAGTTTAAACCACTTTGGCTTATATTGTAGTCTTACCCAATGTTATCAAAGTGTGATATGTGAACTTTTTTTTTTAAATTTCAAAAAGTGGTTTTTGATAGACTTTTTGTTCCAAAATTTGTGAATTTATTTAAAACCAACTTTTAGAGGTCACTCATATCTTCTAATTAGCCACAATTCATACCAATGCATAGCATTCATCCTCCATGTTTTTGCCGAAAAAAATAAGAAAATCGGTTGATAAACAAGCGAGAAATGAACTTATCAGTGCATGAAAATGGTTCTGAGAAAAATGCATTTTAAAAATATTATATGGTACAATGATATCTAAACATAATTTATTCTTCCTTTTAACCTGGTTAGACAATCAACATTGTTTTTTTATGAAAGTCTGGCATATTTAGAAAAGATTGACATCGAAAAAAAGATTTCAAGTTTTTGTTACCTTAGTGATATCACTAATGTTTCAAAATATTTTTGATATGCTAAAACATTGAAGTGGCCCATTAAATATGGCATTTTATTATTGAAATAGTATGTCCTTTGTTCAATCTTTGCATTGGTGTTAAAAAGATAATCTTTTTTGAAATGCATTAAAGTCCCCGTCTAAAGTTTGAAAATATTTTTTTATCATTCATTTACTATTTGTCAGGACTTAAAAAGTGATTTTAGAGATTTTTGAACAAAAAAAGAATTTTTGAAAAAAAGGTTTTGAGCATTTCATTTCTCAAATATTCAAATTTCCCGCCATTTCTCAAAAAAAGTTGAAATTTCTTAATCATCAAATATTTCTTAATGCATTTCAAAAAAGATTATCTTTTTAACACCAATGTAAAGATTGAACAAAAGACACACTATTTCAATAATAAAATGTCATATTTAATGGGCCACTTCAATGTTTTAGCATATCAAAAATATTTTGAATTAAATTTATCTCCGCCTTCTACTTGTACATGATATAACTTAATGTAAATGTTGCAACTATTGTCCCCTAAGGTTTCAGAGGTATTCTCCCTCATGTTTGATGCACAGTCGCTTGCATTCAACCCATTGACGATACGGTGCTCTGAAGCCATTTGGAAAACTTGTTTGAATGGCAATCTTGACTGCAGTCGAACGTAGTTTCATTGTTCCATGAAGTGCAACTAAACTCCTAGCTGATCCTTCATCCTAGTGAAAAAGCAAAATCAAGGATTGCCTCATCTGGAGAGTATGTAACTTATGTAATCCATGATATTTGCACAAAGTTGATGTTCCGAATGCGGTGTCATTTCTTCATAATGTCTTGTTTGTCTTGTTTTATGTCAACCCTAATAATAAGATCAATATATTTTTCTGGAGCCCAGAAGTAGTCGTTTTTTACTTGTAATACCATGTAGAAAAATATCCAACGGGAGTTTGCTCTTGAAATTTTGCATAAACAAATATTGCGAAAAATATATTGCATGACAACCCAAATAGAGAATACCACGAATGTCACAACATGTGCAAAGTTAAAGTACAAAATTTCACAAGCTAAAAATTAAACCCGCATATACAATTTCTTCAGTTCATCAAAGTAAGCAAAAACGTTCTATTCTTTCTTTCTATTGTGTCATTTAACATCTTAGGTAAACCCTTGAGTACAGCATATTTGGCACCTGCTGTAACCCCGTGGGCAACAACACTTCCTGGTGTGGTAGGGTCCGCCGCCAACAACCCTGGAATAAGACTCTTCAAGTACGACTCTACCAATACAGAACCAACCGACATTTGGCAGTACTATCTCAACCTAACTGAAGCCAACACGTTGGAGAGGTCAGAGTGGAAGATACTGTACAAGGCGAGAAAGGATTACAATCTGACTAGTCTATTACCCGTGTCATGGGACACACTGGTGGAATCATTCAAGACGACTGATAGTGAAACATTTCGCAAATATATTGATTTCAATGGCGTCGGTTTTTCCAAGGACGAATCTTGTGAGAATCAATGTAAACACATTCATATCTGTGCTATACGGAATGTTGACTACAATGCATATGATAGATGTATAAATTCTGCAAGCATTGCTGGTGTGTTTCATTTCGTTTCGATTTGGACTGTTGTCATACCTGTGCTTTTTAGTTTGATTTTTGTTAAATAATCAAAAGGATTAGAAACTGGAAAAAGTACAACTGAAAACTTATGTTTGTCCGTATATTTATTCACATTTCAGTATAAGTGTCATAAATCATAAAATATGTCCAGCAATAAACAGAATTTTTAGTTGTCTCAACCTTTGAGATGGCCCTTTGTAAAGCTTAAAGGCCCCATGTAAAGTTTAAACCACTTTGGCTTATATTGTAGTCTTACCCAATGTTATCAAAGTGTGATATGTGAACTTTTTTTTTTAAATTTCAAAAAGTGGTTTTTGATAGACTTTTTGTTCCAAAATTTGTGAATTTATTTAAAACCAACTTTTAGAGGTCACTCATATCTTCTAATTAGCCACAATTCATACCAATGCATAGCATTCATCCTCCATGTTTTTGCCGAAAAAAATAAGAAAATCGGTTGATAAACAAGCGAGAAATGAACTTATCAGTGCATGAAAATGGTTCTGAGAAAAATGCATTTTAAAAATATTATATGGTACAATGATATCTAAACATAATTTATTCTTCCTTTTAACCTGGTTAGACAATCAACATTGTTTTTTTATGAAAGTCTGGCATATTTAGAAAAGATTGACATCGAAAAAAAGATTTCAAGTTTTTGTTACCTTAGTGATATCACTAATGTTTCAAAATATTTTTGATATGCTAAAACATTGAAGTGGCCCATTAAATATGGCATTTTATTATTGAAATAGTATGTCCTTTGTTCAATCTTTGCATTGGTGTTAAAAAGATAATCTTTTTTGAAATGCATTAAAGTCCCCGTCTAAAGTTTGAAAATATTTTTTTATCATTCATTTACTATTTGTCAGGACTTAAAAAGTGATTTTAGAGATTTTTGAACAAAAAAAGAATTTTTGAAAAAAAGGTTTTGAGCATTTCATTTCTCAAATATTCAAATTTCCCGCCATTTCTCAAAAAAAGTTGAAATTTCTTAATCATCAAATATTTCTTAATGCATTTCAAAAAAGATTATCTTTTTAACACCAATGTAAAGATTGAACAAAAGACACACTATTTCAATAATAAAATGTCATATTTAATGGGCCACTTCAATGTTTTAGCATATCAAAAATATTTTGAATTAAATTTATCTCCGCCTTCTACTTGTACATGATATAACTTAATGTAAATGTTGCAACTATTGTCCCCTAAGGTTTCAGAGGTATTCTCCCTCATGTTTGATGCACAGTCGCTTGCATTCAACCCATTGACGATACGGTGCTCTGAAGCCATTTGGAAAACTTGTTTGAATGGCAATCTTGACTGCAGTCGAACGTAGTTTCATTGTTCCATGAAGTGCAACTAAACTCCTAGCTGATCCTTCATCCTAGTGAAAAAGCAAAATCAAGGATTGCCTCATCTGGAGAGTATGTAACTTGGGGCAGCTTTGCCATCTATTTTGCCAGTCATTTGTGATGGTTTCCTGCACAATATCAGCAGTGTGATCGGCTGCATTATCCTGATGGAAAAAAGTTTGGCTGAATGGTTAAGTTTTAATCAACTTACCATAGCATTACTCTTTGTTGATTTTCTGGTCCACTGGTACAGCATTGAATAGCACGATTTCAGAAATTTTCGTGATAACAATGGACATCAATTTTCCCTCAGAACATTTGTAATTTAAAAAAGAACAAATAAAAATAGGGACCCTTCATTTGCACATATTGATCGATTTCTGTAATGGTAAATTGTGTGACGTAAAAAGTGCCCCGCCTACCCAAAAGTCAAGTTACCATAGTAATCCACATTTTTGACCAATCAAATCAGAGATGCTGATATTTGAAGAATCAATCTTAAAGTATCTTTAGCACATTGTGTGAAAATTTTATGGGAAAATATCAAGAATCTTTGAAATGAGAGCATTTTTCCGTGAACTTATTGAACGACCTGGTATGTCAATCAACATTTGCATGTTTAATCACAACATGTACATAAACAGGGTCATCATGTGGTATATCAATTAAGTTTTACACAGATTCAACTGACACACTTTGATAAATCATGAAATTAAGCCACTTTTCCAAGATTTTAGCATGTAAGTGAACGGAACTCTAGCCCAAATTAAAAGCTGAATGAAAGATGGCAGCACGTAACAAATAAACGCAGTAAGGCCATCTTTAATCCGATTTCAATGATAGAAGATAGGGCATAAATGTAGTCGATGCAACTCTTGTAGGTCATAAATCCGTTCTGCTCGTAGTGAATCAATCAGTGATTAGGACAAAAGGACGTTAAACTATCGTCCAGGATTCAGCAATAAACTACGTAAAGCAGATGATACGGTTATTCCCCTATAAGTAAGTGGGTGAGATATGGTACTGGCGGCACATTTCGAGATACTAGTAGGTTTCTGCATTCATACCATGCAGGTGGGGTGATCTTGTTTCAAAAACAGTAGGTAAATAATGACGTTAAGACTATCTGCCAGATTGGACTGTTAAAATACAGTAACCTCGATCATGGAAATTCGGCCCATTCCTGGAATTTATAACAGAACGCTTATCTTATAGGAGATATTGTATCTGAGATGATTGGAAGGAAAAGATAAGTAGGTCAATATTATATATGCTTGCAATTGTGTCATGGCCCCCTATAGATCTCATTCTTGAGGACTTGCCAGTTTATAAAAGGTCAAAGTTGGATATCATTCCGGATATCATTGTTTAAAAGTCGTTGGAAAGGAAGGTAACTTGATTGCGCTTTGAAGTACATGTAAAGATGTCGTTCCTGTCAATGTTTCTTTGATTATCACAAACAGGCTTCTATAACTTGTGGTGCAAGAAAAGTTTCATCGCTTATGTCTCAACCTCGGTAGATTTCTGAGTATTCCTGTCGGAACAGTTACACAAAATACAAATACCAGTATGTAATTGTTCCAACTTGAAGTTTGGAACATTTCTACGTCGAATACACATTCAAACTATTGACTAACAGAAACATCTAAAATTCCATCATCATTTTCATCATTTATATAGGTTCGGGATGCAAAATGCTCAATATATGTGTGCAAATGTTATTCTAATTATAGGTCCAATTAAAAACGGGTGCTACTTAATTAGCGAGTCTTGGACAAGGTTAGTGCACAAAAATGATCTATCAAGGGGCTGATATATTGTCTCTAGCCAACTATTTCCTGAATCACGCATTTGTTGCAATATCCACAATCTTAAATCATCAATTAGATTATAATACCATACACATTGAGAACACTGGGCTATTGTTACGGCACTGACTGGGAAACAAACATTGGTCTGTGGAGGTTCTGTTGATATGTCTCACATACCATCGACTGAGGTAGTAAGGATACTTTTAGACACGTTGGTGTTTTCTAAGCCAAAAAGGGAGATATACACTCCTCTCTAAAGTTTGGCAACATCAGGTTTCCTATCGACCCAGTACATATGTATTGTTGGCTTGTATGTGTTTGACAATTTTTATCATCAAGTCTGTAAGCGAGGAAATAATAGAATACCTACAAAAACAAGGGTGCATTTCTGCAAGCATTCTTATAGGCCCATATAAAGTTTAAACCACTTTGCTTATATTGCAGTTTTACCCAATGTTATAAAAATGTGATATGTGAACTTTTTTTTTCATAATTTCAAAAAGTGATTTTTGAAGGATTTTTTCATAAAATGGTAAAATGTTGGTCACACTTTCTTATCTTTTAATAAGCAATAATTCACACCAATGCATATAGCACGTGTTTTTGTTGAAAAAATTAAGAGAAATGTTTGATAAATAACCAAGAGTCACGATGATGTCACTTTACTTGCAACATGCTTGTATCACATGCTAAAACATTTATTTGGAACAAAAGACTTTTATTTGAAAAATGGCCGGTATATTTAAAAAATAAAAAGCTGATAACTTTTTCAAAAACAATTTGATAACTTTTAAGTCGTCAAAAATAGTAAATGAATGATAAAAACATACTTTGGGCCAAAATTTAAATTTATAAAAGTTATAAATATGAATGGATAAGTCTATTGCTCTTTTATAACTAAAACGTAACAATTCCCATGTTATTCAGTGAATTAATGAATATTCATAGAATGTTACAAGAATGCTCCATTGTTATAACACGCTATGACAATGCGATTGAAGTCGCTGTTGCCAAACGTTGGAAGGGAGTGTAGCAACAACGCAATTACCACTGTTGCCTACTATAACACATGTTTTGACATTTGTTTTTATAATATGAGAACACATTCGGAAAATATTATGGATAAAACCCCCCGATGTTATCCCTATCATAAAAATACTTACCACTACAGATCTAGAGCGTATTTGATCCATAGAAAAGATTTGAATTTCCCGTCCGTTCCCTTAACTTTTTATTCAAAACTGAAGAAAGAAAGGTGGTTTATTTAAGAACGAATAGAATGAAGCAAATGGATTTCAATGAAAGGGATGAAGCAGTGAAGTAAATTTTAGTTTGGGGTGGGGGATATGAGCATTAAGAATCGGAATTGGCTTCTTTGGTGTAGATGAGATGGGTACTTTGTCCTCCTTTACTAAATGGGAACACGGCGTGTGGCAATGGCAAGTATCCTTTCGGACTACGTGTTCATCTTTCAGTCTCAAAGACTGCAAATTAATTTTTCATTAATGTCCGAGCATCTACTTCATAGTATCATAGTTGTACCTGAACATTCATGCTATTTTGGGATGTGCGATCCATACGATCTATATAAGATGAAGATATGATCATTTGTACTATACGGATCTTCCTGAATAATGTGTAGAATTTGATGCTCTACTCCCGGGAATATGACGTTCTACACGTTTCCGTGGAACTTGATGTTCGATTCTACACAAGGATCACATTAAATCCATGTTACTATTATTAGAACCATGTAACATTATTCTAAATACTGTAGCAAGTCAAGCTTTTCTATCAAATACATGCTGGAGGAATTATCGTTGTGATTACCTGTTAAGACTGGATTGTGTGGTTTCTATTTATACTTTATTTCATTGTCTAGAGTCAAAGAATCGAAAGTGTAGGTATAATATACGACAATTTCAATTTAGAACACAATTTTCTATAACAAAATTTACGGTGGCATGATGTCCTGGCTGGGTCATTGTTACCGATCACTCTCTTATGAACTATATGCACGAGGAAGAAAACAGATGGGGAAATGTGAATAATATGAAAAAAATATTCGAAAATTGAGTGTCTAAAGAATTAGAATATTTTTCATATTGTCTAGGATTAAATTCCACATATAATGTTACGCAGTAAACACGATACAAATACATATCATAATCCGCAACGAATATGGCATATTCACTTGCGGTGTATGACAGATTCACCTGCGGTATATGGCATACTTACTTACCAATGAGAACGCGATACGGAAGTACACAATTGTATTGAACAAACGGGCAAAAGTTGATAAATCATTATAATGATTACTGAATCAACAGGTCAGTGCATTGAACATATC